CTCCACAACCGCGCGGCTGAGTTTACATATTGGCGCTGTGTAGGCTGCCTCAGCCAAGATCTTAATGTTTGAAACAGAGTACGCGAATGGGCAATCCCACCAAACACTCTTTGAATGTCTTTCGGGGCATTTACTGACACTGACACTCACATTGACTTCTGCGTTTGGCAACTGGTTCGGTCTTTTGCCATCTGATATCTCATGCCTCGCATGAATGCCGTCAATCAGCGCACGCAACCTAAAATTCGAAATCTCCCCGAGGGAAAAGCCGGCCACCTGGACTGATCCGAACTTTCGAATTCCATCCAGGCGCCAGCCAGCGGCCGTGTAACATTCTCAAGCGTGTCCCAGAAAGCGAATGCCAAAATAGCCAGTACAACCATGACATCCGCTTGCCCTTTCACTGCACACGCCCCAATAATAATTACACGTTCCTGTTCCGCGTAAAGTTCACCATCTAGGTTTTCCGTGACTCGAGCGTCTTTTTTGGCATCCTGTCAGATGCATAGGATGAACCGGTGTAAAAAAGCAAAGTAAGCGGCAAATCCAACGGCACCACCCACTAAACCCCGTCCTCCCGGCCTCCGCCATGCTGTCGTCGTCAGCTTTCTAGATGTCTGTGAGATCCGGGCCCCCTTTCGCATCACGCACGGCATGCAGCCCGTCAAGTGCGTGCAGCCTTAGAACCATCGCATCGGTGCTCTGTCAGTCTCCTGAGATCCCTATCCGTGCTCGGTACCGCTTTGAAAGCCCGCTCGTAGATGGTAGCGCCGTCCGCTCGTATCAGACGGTACCGCTTCGGCGATGGGCAGAGAGTAATGAAGAATACGGCTGAACCAGACCACATCGCAACATCGGCTCAGATTCGTGGCCCCCCAACATCAACAGCCAGCCACGAAAAGCCACAAACGCCGTCCCACGAGACCGTCATTCTCCGTTGACTCTCTGTAATCCCCATGTGCCAGACAGCTACCTACGCCTCAGCAGTGTCCGTACACCATGTCACACCACACCACCGAGTCCTTCTCCCGTCGGTCACCCGTCAGATCCCAATCTCACCGCCCCCTTCGTCAGATACTCAGTCCCAAGTAGCCTGGTGAGACAGAGCCCGGCTGACACCTGCAACAGCAAACAAGCTGCACCACCGTAACGGGCGGGCAACCATCAACATGGCACAGCATCGCAACACCAACACCGAACACCAACACCAGCGAAACCGACCAAGGCCGTAGTACAGCGTTACCGTAAGTGACCCTTTGACAGCCGAAACCGAAAAGGGCCCATCATCCCCTCCGTCTAATCTCTCGACTTCCATCCGTTCCATGGCTTTACCTGTCCCTCTCTCCACGGATCATCAAGCTTAATTTGTCCTCACAATACCTATTGTGCCAGCCCGCCGGCTACCCCTTCTCGTATTACATACTCGACTGGTTTTAACGTTTTTGGCATACTGACGGGTCTCGGATGCCCAAAAGCAGACAACCATTGTTGTGCCATTCTACACACTCCGTAACCGCAGCAAGCTTGAACAACGATGGACGATGTCCTTCGCACAGCATATGTATAGTAGGGAAGTAAATCTCGCACGGACAAAGCCAGTATCTCTACGTTGGCCGAAGTGGTACCCGATCAGCAACGGGCAGACTATTCCAGCACTCAAATTTACGTTCCCGCCCTAAATTTCCAAGGATCTCGTTACAATCGGCGCTGAGGCCGGCCGCAGCGTTGCATCGCAGGCCGAACCTCCCGGCGTCCGCATTCTCCGAGAAGGGGGGACCCCGCAAATAGCCCCCGGAGAGAGAGAGAGAGAGAGAGAGAGAGCTTCACCTACTCCAACAAACTCCAACCTTGACCGTCCCATCCGAGATCTCTCTTCCCCCTCACTTTGATTGTTGTCCCCGAGCTTAAAAAGGTCATTAAATGAAGAGGATAGTCTCGGATCTGGGATGACCCTCGTTGGAACCCCAACGAGCTTCTTTCTCGTGAGGCGAAAACGATCCGTACAACACGACACAGCCTGGCGCCAAGACATGTCAAGTCGCTGTGTTTAACAAAGAAGGGGGGTAGGTAGTGGGTAAACGGGGGTTACACGGTAACATTTGACAATTTCACCGGTAACACTCGTAAACCCGTAAACCCTCAAACTGTCCCAAACCGGCCCGTTGTCCCTCCCCCAAAACGGTTGTGAACTCGAGGGGGTTTGGATGTACCGAGAGTACTCTCAGCGGCAACGGAATCATACATGTAACTCTCGTTTGGCATTGTTTGACGGGACGGCATGCGATTCGTGAGACGTTTTCCTACCCAAAATTCCTACTTTGACATGTCACACGCTGTACGTCGATCCCAGAAACCTGGCCACTGTTGAGAAACAAGACCAAGACAGGATACCGTTAGGGTCATGTTTCCATTCGATCTTGTCTATGAGTATCTGCACATGTCGCCTTTTTTTTTTCCTGCAGAACGTCTTGGCCGGCAGGATGCATGAGTAGCGAAACAGGCTAAGGTGGACGGGTGGTTGGGTGGGTGTGCTGCACGCAGACACACTTGCGTGCAAGTCTGTGATAACTTGCTCAGCAAGTCCAAACCAACGGAGAAATCCAATCAACCTAACCAACCTGCTCTTGTTGCCTGCGTGATGTGGGCGAATCCAGTGGCAGGATGCACTTGTGGTTTGATGTGTGCGATGCTTGGCCCCCCTGCTTCTCAGGTTAGGCGAATCGGGTACTTTTGTCTCCAGAAGCAGACAAGTAGACCTTTGACAGGCGTGCCACAAGAATGATAACCACACGTATAGACTACTTAAACTTGCCAAAGTAATGCACGAATAGTTCGTACATGTATCCGCAGCCCGAATTGCTAAACATCTCTTAGTTGCATCATGGGTAGCAGAATGAGAGAAGGCGGCTCAATACTACCAAACGCCTGTTTCTCGTCCCCCGAATCCAGCAAACCGTTGCCGAGTCTCCCGTCTACACAACGGGAACACGGCAGACCGAACGGCAAAAGTTAACCGTTGGGTAATTAAGGTAATTACTCAAATGGTAATCTGTATCCGCGCGTGTGCCCATACCAGCAGCGTCATTAAGGTTGGCCCAGAGCTTACACCCCTCACCCTAGCTACCTTAGCTCGAGTCTTCTTTTTTTCGCCCAAGAGTTCTTCTCTTTGGTCACGAACTGAATTTGGACGAACGGGATTCCGGCTCCTGAGGCTCCCCCACCATCATTCCTACACCCTCCCCCCAGACCCCCTAGGTTCCCCTCCCTCTGAGTTCGTGACCATTAGGGGAAGAGAAAGTTGGAGAGAGAGTTAGTAGCGTACTCTATCCCTAGAGACCATCGTCAGAAGCAGGCGCCACGAACCAATCACTAGCGAGCCGAAGAGCCGGGTACTCGTCACCCTTCTACGCAATCTCGGATCAAGGCAATATGAAATCGTTCGAATGTGCTCAGAGGCACGGAGAAAGACGCCGAGACCCGTCTCGCTGCTGCCATCACAAACCAGATATGATTCAATTGTAGGTCTTCTTTTCTGGTCTTCTTTTCTCGAACGGGAAGAAGTGCCGTCTGGTCCACGGCGCTGTAATGGAGCCTGTATGTAGTAGCTCTCCCATGGTTAAACTTATCCATCGGCCTGGATCATCCCTCCCCCTGTACCTGGAAAGCAGTAAACCTTTCTCGCTCACAGCACAGCGGCTATCGAATGACAAAAAGAAAAGAATGGGAGCTAGCTTTCTCAAGCGAGGCTTGCAAGCCCTTCAACCCGCGCGCCCACGCCCGCGCGACTGGGAAGCGATGGCGCAGAATCCCTCGGAGATGAGCCCAGATAGACTTTAGGGTGTCCTCTACTTTAACCAACCTACGGCTCGCGGGATCCGTCCAGGCGAATCACAAGAGGGTAAAAAGGCTTGTTTGCAGGTCCATCAGCCCTGTAGGCTGCACGGGGAGAGGGAAAGACTCGAAGGAGGTATGGCACGCGCGCCCACCCCGGGATCGAGTCAGCAGAGTCAGCAGGAGTCAGCCAGGAGGAATGCTCGTCGATAAAGCTAGATCCCCTTTCAGAATAGCCCGTCATCCGCCTCCCTTCCTTTATATCCAGGCCTAGGATATCTCCGTCTCCAGGATAAGGCGGTTCACCCTCACTGGATTGTCAGCGGGAAGGTTTACCATTCGGAAGCTGAGTACTTCAGTCGACATGGGAGCTGTGGTAGCCTGCGGCATTGGCTCGTTCATTTGGGTCGGCTGAGCTTGATTCCCCATCTTCTTGTAACCGGGTGATCCTGGGCCCGACCATTCGAGTCAAGGTGCTGTAAAGTCGTAGAGGGAATATAGGTCCTGCCACTTCGGCCCACGGCACGAAAGCATATCCACTGCCAACGCTCGGGGGTATATTTCTACATGTACGGGCCACGGATGGAGAGAGTTTCTAATTCGAAGGGGGCTCATCAAGTACCTAAAGACATCCGTACACGTGTAAGATAAACGACGATCATCGGCGTATCGGCATCGCCCACAGATTGACTGGACGCGGGCCCCGTAGCATCCGTATCATTTTGAGAACATAGCCGTCCACTCCTTGGCCTGCCCAAACAGGCACAAACCTGGACTTGGCGGTAATCCTATGGATCTTGGGTGAATCAGGATGTGTCCCGCTAAACGACGAACCATTGCACACAAACGAGGGTCAGCCTCTTTCTATTGCTGCCAAGAGCAGGTTGGCGTTGCTGGGCATTCCGTGGCACATGTTTGGTGCGTTCGTATCCTTGAGGGCTCGTACATGGAGCCACGGATGAGTAGCACCAGGGACTCTACTAGTCTGATTCGGTGGCTCGTAACAAGAGCCGAGTCTTGCCTTCTGTGCGGAAGAAGCGTGTAAACACTTGAAAACGGCATGCCCGTCGACCGATCATATCCGTAAAAGTGACGAGAGAAAGAAGAGGCGATCCACCGGACCGATCATCCACTGGTGCCGCACATGTGCACACAATCCGACAAGGTAATTACTGAATACTCTGTAATGTGGGAGAGCCAAGGTTTTCTTCGCTGGACGGGTTAAGCGAAGAAAGGGGTGGAGGATGGGGGGCACACAAGACGCCGATGTATCCTTGCATCAAATCACCACGGTGGACTAAGCAGAGAGACAAGCTTAGTCCGAGGCGCCAATCAGTACATTCCTCGAGCTGAACCATGTCCATCCAACCGTTCTTACGCAACCAGATACCAAGAGGACGAGTAGTCGACTGGATGACAGATAGCCGGAAAGCCTTCGTGCCCGGCTGAGCCAGAAGGGATAACTGGGAAAGCTGCCACTGGAAATAAGTCAAGCAGTAGGCCAGCGCCACTGCACCATGAGCAGGTTTAAGCATGAATTTAAGCGTTGTCAGCCACTGCTCCTAGCGTCGTCTTGGTCTTCTTGGCATACCTCACAACTCCTCTGGGATCTGTCGATGTTCTTCTGGAGGTTGTGGTCGGAAACGGGGGGGAGGGGGTGGCTGGAGTAAGGGGGGTCAGCGAAGAAGGCAGCACAATTTTCTTGCTGACGCCCTGTTGGTGAGCGACCATGTCTTGGCCACTTGAGAGTTATGGAGCCTAACGGACTTTTCGAGGAGCACCGGGTCCGATGGAGAAACGGTTCTGGAAGGCGAGGCGAGAGACACATCCCAGAGAAAAAGAAAAAAAGCATGGCTTCAAGAAGTTCAACCCCCCCCCCCCCCGAAGAAGCAATACGCTGCGTATGCCGTTTCCCTTTCGTTGTCCGGGAATACAGTCAGGGTCAACTTAGCCTCTTCCCTTTAATTTTTCTGCGCGCAGCAATGTGTCTCTATCGGCATGCAGCATCTGTAGCCGTGTCCGTTGATTCTCCAAATTAAGGCGGCAGCTCATCATCAACGCCGGAATAACCGTCTTCTTGGCATGGGGACGTGGACTGGGCGGCCCATGGTTAAATGTCCGTCCAAGGTTTGGCTCTGCAGCAGATAAAGTGCGCCATCAGAGCGAAAAACCTTCCCCGGTCTCTTCTCTTTTGCTTCCGTCCCGACAAAGGTAAGATGCTTATTCAGACGGGCGATCAAATTCCCTAGATTTAGTCCAGAGTTTAGTGAAAATGCGTCTGTATCTTTTGCGGGAAAGGCTTTATGGTTAAGATTGCAGGAAACCTAAATCATAACCCGTGGCCGTCCCCTTGCTCGCTTTCGGTCGAGCCGTGGACCGCACGGGTTTCTCTTTGACAGCCTAACAGGATTCCCCGATATGGAAGAGTCGATGATGGTGCCTATCACGTTGCTTAGAATCGTTCATGATTTAAACCCCATTACGGAGTAATCCTTGCAATACGGCAATATGGCAATATCGGTTTCATGGAGGTCAGCAAAGTCAAAAAGGTTATTGGCCACTAGGCTTCCGGACCAGCCGCTCAAGCCCAGAGAGCGGGTGGGCAGAGTCTAGAGAGCCTCACTATCTCAGATATTTTTTTTTGCATGTTTCATTCGTTGACTTCACACAAGGGCCATCGAGTCAAGGTTAAGCCCCCTCCTCCCGCCCCGTCTGATAACTGGAGACTTCATTGGAAAGAATGATGAGACGAGACGTACCGATGCGAAGGTCTCCCAAAGTTCCAAGCCGACCCGAACCGACCAACGAGGCTGCCCAGTGGTGCCGGCCAAGAGGGCCCTCGCTCGAGGCTTTGCCTCTCAGCTTACGCTCTTGGCCAGGATTACGGATTCCTTCTCATGCTGAGACGATGGACTGTGCCCCAACGTACGGGTGTCGGAAGATATGATTCTGAGCGTAAGAAGGCGAGGGAACATGACGACGGCACCAGCCCCCAAAACTAGGGAACCTAGGCGTTGTGTCCATACGTACGAATAGAGTGTCAGTAGTAAGGACAGCACTTGGGGTTCTCTGCCCAGAGTGGCCGGCCATCTCGCTCAATCTTACCTTAATCGAGCCTGACCCGCCATCCCATGTCCCTGAACGCCGACTCTGAGCCAACAGGTTAGAATAGGCTCGCAACACCTGCGGCACCTGACAGGCTTTCCTTGTAAAGCGGGGCTTCATTGGCTGTGAAAATGTTGACTGCTGTAAGAGTCGATCCCTCAGGAGGATAGCTCTAGTGTCCCTATGGAGCAGGAGTGCATGTACGAATACGCCTTTTCCAGCCTCCATGGTGCTCATCCAGGTATTCGTGCCTTGGTGTGAAGGGCACCCCGCCGATGTGCATCCCGCCTTGGTTCGCCGCAAAGCCGCAGGGCAAACGAAACCTCTTCTGAATCCGGCTCCCACGCTGCGCTGTTGCGCTGCCCACAACCAGCCGTTGGAACCCCCTGGCCGACATGGCCGATCTGTCCAACGCATGTCGCCGCCGTCAGCTCGACATCAAGATGACACAATATGCAGATGGAGACCAAGGACTATGCTGCATATCGGGATGCTCTTTCGCAGAGAAAGTTAGTAGAAGCGGTCGAGATTCGGACAGAGAGAAGCCTCTGGCTTAGCACATTCATCGCATACCCAGTCTTGCTCGTCCCCACTCTCCCAAGCCGAACCCGAGCAAGTTTCTAAGAAGGGGGCTGTTCTCGTTCTCGTGAAAGCTCTCCACCATATGCATACTTGAGCAGCAGAGGGTACCGAAACCTAGGAGAAGGGCCAAGAGAAAATCAGAAAGGGTGGGTTCGCCAGCTCACGTTTCGCTCGTTGCGCTCGCGATGAGAACCCGCCCCTGTGGTTATCCTTTCGGTCCACGGCCCAGTCGGGGCTCCGTTCGTCTGTTACGAAGTGCCGCGCGCAAGTCAGCCAGCGTTGAAGCACAAGGCATCTCGCAACCCGCCCCCATGACTCGGTCTGCATAAAGGATAAGCCGTGACAGCAAACCCTAAATTACAGTGTAAATCTCAAGTGAAGGGATGTCCCCTTGAAACGAGGTTCTCTTTCACACCCCCCTTAGGGAATGACGATAGACGTCATCCAGGATCAAATATACCCACCTTCGCGATTCGGATAGGAATAGAAACGTAGAGGTTCAGTTACCAGACGTACTGTACCATGAGAGCAAATATTGGACATCGATCTTAATTCCGACTTCCTTCTGGGGACTCAGATATACGCTTGGCGTGTCACAAGTTCACGACCACTGGTTATCCTTCGTAGGGTCGCTCCTAGCGCCGGGTTTCCCGCTCAGTAAGCGGCTCAAGAGTTAAGAAGATGACGGCCTTGCTTAGTCACGACATCAAGGCCGCATAGAAGCCAGATGTATGCCCAACTTCGGCGTCAGCATCATGAAGCTTATCCACATCGCCGAAGGCGCAAGCCTAGCGCATCTTCGCCATCAGTGTGTCGGGTGAGGCAATGCCATTTTTAGTGAAATTCTGTCATTCCAGCATACCTGCAGCCAACTGGTGGGCACCCCATCTTTGAGTTAGGCTCAGCGCCACCACCTCCGGTGAGCCAAGCTTCCCGGGCGATGCACCTGGAATGCGGCCATCCAATGTATTAGTCGCTTGACTTGGTGGATGCATCATTACTATGTCTGTCATTCGTTCGGGTAGATTTTGAAACGCAGATAGAAGCGAGAGGTATGGTCCTTTCACCAGCGAGAATCTTTCTAACTTTCATGTCACAGTTCAATAGCATGAGACGGAGCGGCTCCAGCACAGTTCGTCCTGTTTTCGCAGCGCCTATCAGCACATTTGACGCCAACTAACAGCGAGAGCGATCAGCTTACAACCTTGGTGTTGATGAGGCGCAGGAATTGGCAGAAAGCCCATGTATGCAGTGCCTATCGGGGCGAAAACCGGGCCAAGGCGTGCTCATTTTGAAGTTGGAGGTGCTCATCCTACGGGTGACGGGATCCATCCTACAACGAGGCAGGCGAAAGGATGCTATCTCCCCGTCCCGCATTTGGAGGGGCGCCTCTTAATGCCTAATGATGGCTCTACAATGACCAAGATGGGGGCAGCGGCCGGCACAGCAACAACACCTTCAAGTCAAGACGGGCTGCGGACGAGGGCTCAGCCTGATCAGTGTGATGCTCCATCCCCGTACGCCTATCCCAAGGGAGCATTCAACACCGACCTACAAATCAAAAGGCCCAGCCTACCTGGTTCAGGAACTCGCCTCAATGAAGAGGCGACTGCTCCATCGTTCTGAGAAGCATGCAGCTCGAATCTATGGGCGAGACCGGGCGCCTGGCCAGGACTACATGTAGCCACTCGAGCCAGGAACCGGTCTGCTGGATCTGCGGACTTCCACTCAGCTCGCTAGAAGAACCGCCGCATGGATTTATCTTTCATGGTCCATCACGCTTCACCTTGCCTAGGTCGGCAGGACCAGCGATACCGCCTACACGTCAGTGAAATCGGGAAGCTGGCCGGGATACCGCTTTCGCCGTTGGCGGTCCAGGTCTCCGAATGTCGGATGAGAGTACAGGGGCCATGAGAAGTAAGTAGGTGGACAGTTGCCACGAGTGATCCTTCCAAGGGCTGCTGTTGCGATCCTCTATGGATAGGTACGTGAAGGACCGGCCCCAAGTGAACGGCCGACCATCCGAGAATGTAATGTATGGGTAAAGTCGATGACAAGCTCCTGAGCTTAACCTTATTGTGCCTTTCTGAGCTTTCACGTCTGCTCGTATAGACTTCACGCCTCTCACATCGGGGCAAGCGAACCAGACATCAACCGAGTGTCCGGATATGGAATTGTTGAGTCTTCAGAAAACGGAATGAAGATCCTGGTAAACTCGCCGTATATGCAATGTCAATAGCAATGACATCCTCGCTGTTTAGTGACTTTCGTCGAACTAGTTGTTCGAACTAGTTGTACGAACGTCTGTATCGGTGACCATTTCTCGTGACATGGGCCATGAGCTGGGTATTTCACTGTTGCCTAATGATGTCCCAAAAGAGTCTTCACGGCATGAAAATCATCTCTTGATAATCCTGCGCCCGATAGCGAAAGCCTCCAGATCCTCACCAATCCTCTCACATCGAGAATGGCAGGTGCCTGGCGTTGGAAAGTCCACAACGGGTGGTGCGGCGGCGTCGGTGACTGATGGCTGACATGGGACGAAGGGGACCCGCTTGAGCGGCACAGAACGGTGCCGGGCCACGAAATTGAAGACTCTAATCTGAACGGGCGGATGCCCGGATACGTCGGCGGCCCTTGGAGAAGATCCAATTGTTCCCCCTCCTCCTCCCAAAGGTCCCTACGGTCCCGAAAGATTGGCAGCCTAACTCCGTAGAGAGACAACACTAAACCAACAGCTCTAGTGCCATTTGGCCACCGGATTGATGCATTGGCATTGGGGCAGTGCTGGACCACCCCCTCCCCGAGTCCCCAGTTCCAGCCGAGCCAAGCCCAGCCAGTCAGACTC